TTTTAGTACGAAAAAATATTACTTAATAAATTTATACCAGCCAGAAAGAAATTGCAGTTCACACTGTACTATTTTAAACATGTTCTACCAAAGTCTAGGATGAACTAATTCACCAGTCTGTTTCCACTCTAATATGAACAGAACAGAACAAAAAAATTATGAATTATTATGCTAATTAGAGAATTAATATTAATCAAAATTAATCAGGCCTGTCTATTGTCCTAGAGCATTTATGTACCAAATTATATTCAAATGTGATGATCAGTAATTGAGATATCAGTGTTAATTAATTATGTTAATGAGGTGATTAATAAGCATAAATATTTACCAAAAACTAATTGGGTTTCTGCATAGTTCTCTTTAAAAGTTTCATTAAAATCCAATTTGTGGTTCTTTATATATCAGTGGAACATTATGCAAATTAGGTAATTAATATCCAATTAAAACTAATCAGTTGTTTGCATAATCCTAGAAGATCTATGTAGCAAGTCTCAATGAAATATGATGATTACTACTTGAAATATCAAAAGCTGAAAATTAAATCATTATGCAAATTAGCTAATTAATGTATACTGATATTACCCTAAAAACTATCAGGTCTGTGCAGTGTCCTATGACATCTATGTACAAAATTTCATTGAAATGTGGTGATTACTACTTGAAATATCAAAAGCTGAAAATTAATTAATTATGCAAATTAGGTAATTAATATATACTGATATTACCCTAAAAACTATCAGGTTTGTGCAGTGTCCTATGACATCTATGTACCAAGTTTTATTGAAATGTGATGATTAGTACTTGAGATATCAGTGTAAAGGCCGAAAATTGATTAATCATTATGCAAATTAGGTAATTAATATTGCACAGATTTTTACCCAAAACTAATCAAATCTGCGCATTAGTTTGGAGCATCTGTGTGCCAAGTTTCATCAAAATCCAATGAGTGGTTTTTTTAGATATCAGTTACCATTGTGCTTAATGTCTGGAAAGGGGTAGGCAATTTGAGTTTATTTCTGTCTGATAAGGGGTAGAGGTTTCAAACAACCAGCTACAAACCCCTGTATTTTTACATTTTTGACTTCTTACCTGCAAGATTGAAACACTGGTACAAATTACTTCTCAAAACTGCTTACCACGAAACATACAACTTGCATATTTGGGGGGGGGGGGGTTACATTTGAGCACATGAGCAGTACAGTACAACTATACATCGTTCAAATGTGAAAGCTTGCTGTGGGGCTGTGTCCATCTATTTAAATCCTTTTTTGTCCCAAGGATTACGGTACAAGACGAAATGTCAACAAGCCATGCATGGCACAGTCCCCGTTAGTTATCAAATTTAAGATAAATAGTTTTGTTTAT